CGTGGCCCTGTTTCCAATACTGGAGTTAGTCAACCACCCATCCGGGCTTACATGGACAATCGTAGATCCACAGTAGAAAGGAGAGCCATCCTGACATTGGCCGATAAGCCTGTTAAAAGTCTAGGGAAGTATTTTTGTAATGCTCTGAAGGACACACCAGCTATCGAAGCTATACACACTGATTTTCACTCATGGCTGGCAAAAATAGATAAATCTGGATTTCCAGAGTGTTTCAAAGCCTGGTTATACCATCACTGTGTGCTCCTATGAGCATTATGGCCACTCCAGACATGTAGCATTCTCATCTCGACTGTGGAGACGTTGGAGAGGAGAACTAGCAGCTTCCTCTGTAGATGGTTAGGATTACCTCAGAGCTTAAGCAGCGCAACCTTATATGGATCATCCAATGCCATCCAGCTGCCATTCAGAGGCCTGATTGAGGAGTTCATGGTTTCATGGACAAGGGAAACCTACAACTATAGAAACTCCAAAGATCCCAAAATATCATGTGTGGGAATTAAGGTCAAGACGGGCAGAAGATGCAGTGCAACTAAGGAACTGGCTATCACAGAAGGGAACCTGAGGATAAAAGCAATAGTGGGTTCAGTCGTGCAGGGAAGAGCAGGCCTGGGACTGATCCCTCCTACAGATTCAGAAAAATCACCATGAAGGAGCGTTAACACCTGATATAGGACAAAGTAAGAGTGGGGATGGAGGAAAAGGGGATGACAAAAATGGCAGGTTATAGCCAACAGGGTGTGTGGACCAGGTGGGATGGTGTAGATCGGCAAAAAAGTGTTATGGTCAGATCTTTGCAATATCGAATTCAGCCAATCTATATTCCTGGTTCAAATGGTGTATGACGTATTACCAAGTGTGACCAACCTACACTAATGGGGAAAGATAGATTCACCAAAGTGCCCCTTGTAATCAGAGAGGGGATCACTGCAATACATATTAAATGGGTGAGAACTGCTCTGACAAACAGGCGCTATTGGTGGCATCATGACAAGATTTTAGAGGCGACAGTGCTCATTATTGCTGAAGCTTTGCAAAGCAATAAACTCATCCCAGAAAGAAGCGCTATCCACTTCGTTAAAGCAGGTTCAAAGCCGAGTAAGAAGGTTGCAGGATCCCATTCACTGTTATCGTCCATGTCGGATTGGCAGATGCGAGTCGATCACAAGAAACAATTGAAATTCCCTACACATATATCGTCCACCAAACTCCGTTGAGACATAATCGTTTATTCAGATGCCATGAAACAGATTATTTTGCTGGAGTTAACTGTGCCATGGGAGGAGCATATTCAAGAGGCATTTGAGAGAAAGTACAGTAAATACCAAGGTCTCTTAGATGAGTGCAGAACTAAAGGATGGCGTACTCATTGTTTTCTGGTCAAGATCAGCTGTAGGGTGTTTGCCGGACAGTCAATGATACAAGCCCTTACTAGCCTAGGGATAACTGGACAAAAAAGAAGGCGGGCAACTCAAAATGATCCTGGAGTCTGTTGAAAAGGCCACCAGGTGGTTGTGGTTAAATAGGGCTAATGAGTGGCCCAAAACTACTAAAAATACGAACATTCACAGTGAAAATGAACATACATCATAAATACCACCACTAAATATTTTTAAAGCTTAAAAGTGTATATAGATTTGTATATATGTATGTTAAAATTGTGTATATAGAAGGTGAGAAGCTTCAGAGAAACAATTTTATTCGAGTTGCATTCAGTCACATATTCAACGACTTCATTTTTGCATTTTACTGGTCTTTCGAGTAGATTTATTTTATTAAAAAATATTCTTACATGTAATCTTTCCTTTTCTTTACTCACAATTATTTTTTTTTGTAATTAGCCATTTTTCGTTTCTGTTTTTTTTTTGTCGTATTTACTCGTTTTTTTAATTGGTTTCTTTTAAGGATTATTTTTTTTAGGAGTAACTTATTTTAATTAAATTTACACAAAATTTTTTCTTTTAACTATTATTCAATATGTAAATAAATATCTTGATTAATTTATTTTAAGCATTTTAACTATGTTATTTTTCTTAGTTTTTAAACAAATTTCTTCTGTTAAGGATAATTTTTTGGGTGTAACCTATTCTAACTAAAATTTACATGTTATTATGTTTTCTTTTTTAACTAGTATCTAACATGTAAATATTATGATTAATTTATTTTTAAGTAAGTTAAGTTAAATGTTATTTCTCTTAGTTTTTAAACGGAATTTATAAGAGTATCAATCAATATCCCAAATTTATCATATTTTTTTTTAGGATTTTTTTTTTTTGTTAATCACTCTATTGTTAATTTTTTATTTAGTGTAGTTAAGAGAAAAAAATAAGAATAAGAAGAAAAGTTATAAAAAGAGAAAGACCAAATAAATAAGATATAATAAAGAAGTTATATGGGGAGGAAGAGAATGGAAAGTAAGTCGTAAGACAAGCCAATATAATAAATCGTTTTTATTTTATTAATGTATATATATATATTGGATTGTTTTCTTCTCTTCTTTCAAAAAACACCCTGTCTTGGCCGCATGTAGTAAGATCAGTACAACCAAGCATACCTGTTCTATAACATGGAATAGCCCAAGTGAAGTCTTGATTAGTTGCCGTTTTCTGGGAAAACTTATATAAAGCAGGTCCTAAAGCCAGTAGCAAATTTTATTCTGGGTGCGGGCTGGATACTGATCATATTTCGGTCAGGTCACCCATCGAAGAAGTCTGTTGTTTTTTTTTAGACCCGAAACTTCTAGTGACATGGAAGCAACGCACCTAGATTCGGCACTTAAAGGTGTATTTTTAACAATCTTCTTTGACCAATGAAAGACAGGTTTTCAAAGCTAAAGCAGAAAAGTGAAAAAATGTAGGTTAAAGGTCAGAGTCTGTGTGCTATTCAAACTTGTCTAGATGAACCATCATTTTTAGACATGTCACCAATTACATCTGGTTAAGATGATTTTTAGTTACAATAAAATAATCAGATGGATGTGTATCCAAAAAAAGGTTAATGTTAGGATTTTATTCTTTTTTAAATTATTGTTTATAATTTAGAACTATCTTAAAGGGGCTTCTAGTATGATTAAATCAATTTTATATATCATATTATTTTCATACTAAAATACGATACTTATATTCAGTGGACTTTAGACATAGCAATATTAAAATTAAAATCAAGGAATTAAATAAATATTATATGTACTATTATATATAATAAAATAATGCATATATAATTGTAATATATAGGTTATTTTTAGAAAAATTCTATTAACTATATTTTAATATAAACATTGTAAAATGCCTACATATTACAGTTAGTTCATTTCATTAATTTAATAGATCATTATTTTTAGGAAACTTAAAATTGTTTTAATAAACTTAAATCAATGTTTGGCCAAGAGATTGAAAGTGTTAATAACAAAATGTGCCTCCTGACAGGAATTGAATCTGTATGTCTTTTTTTAAACTGCTGTCCATATATATAGTTTATATATGCATCATAATACAATTTGTGTAATCTACAGCTATAATAATGAAGATAATGAGGAAAGCAAAGTTAGGAATAATAGCAAAAATAATAATGATAATAATTGCAGTAATTACAAGTCACATACAGAGTAAACTTTAGTATATAAAATGGAATTTGTGAAAAGTTGGCTGTTTAAATTTTTTATTCTGTTACCAATATTTTGTTCAATATAAACATCATCAGAACAACTTAGAAAGTAAGGAAAAATTGTTACATTGGCAACTTGTTATGTAGAAATACTGAGGTTAATTTGAAAATCTTTCAAAATTGAACATTAAATGAAATTAAAAATAACTCTATGAACAAATCAATGATATTTGTATGTGGAAAAATATAAAAATAAATGTAAAATGTAGTAGTTTGATGAAAAATTTTTTTATATTTTTGAAGAAAAATAAATTGCATATATAAAGAAAATACTGTCTATATATAATTCAAATTATAATTTATGATCATATTATTTTGCTGTTAAGGAAACTATAGAATTAAAATAAAATTCCTTATAAAAAGTTTTATTAAGATGTTTAGCAAGTATCTAAGTTAGTATTACTTTCTGTAAGTAGCTACCATATATACTTGTGTATAGTGCCAGTTTTTTTGCAAAAAATAGGGCATCGTACTATACACAGGTAATTTTCTTGAAGAGGCTAAATATCATGCAGTTTAGGTGATTGTTTGCACTATACACAGGTAAATTTTCTGATGAGGTTAAAATTCAGGCAAAATTATTCATGAAGTCGACTTATACACAAAAATATGTTTGTTAACCAGAAATGGCGATATGTTATAAAAACCAGTGTAAACTTTATAAAAAACTCAAAGAGAAATAAAAAAAATATGAAATATTGAGCATTCTTGTAAATTTTCATTGACAGATAAAATTATATCAATTTCTTTGTTATCACATTTATTTTTCTTTTCTTTTGGACTTATTTTCAAATTCTTCCTCTCGGATTTCGTTTTTTTTTTCACCATTTTTTTTTTTCTGTTTTCAAGCATTCATCTCCTCTTCTGGTGGCAAAGTTCATTTTTTCTTTCTCTCCTCTCTGCCCAAAGCAATTAACATCTTTGCATTATATCACACCCAGTGGGGATATCAGGGCAGGAAGCTCACACATCGAGCATATGTTGATTGTAACCAGGATCTGCAAAATGACTTAAGAAAAATAATAACTGTTATTAAATAGCTTTTTACTAAAAGTTTACCAAGAAAAAAAGAAAACATTAAGAAATTCACAATTGATTTTTTCTTCTCATTAAGACAAATATAAATATATTTATATGCCATATATATTTTCATATCATGTGACCTTTGAAGACCTAATTTTGAAGCTAATTTGACTACAGTAAATGGATGTATACTTGGGTTAATGGTGTTGCCAAGGGCCAGCAGTACATATGCTAATTTCTCATGTATGATGTGACCCTCTTAAAATTAGCTTCAAAATTAGGTCTTCAAAAGTCCCATGATACATGAGTATATACAATATCTATCTATCTGTTTATGTATCTATCTGTCTATCTCTCTCTTTCTGTTTATATATCTATCTATCTCTGTTTATCTGTCTCTTTGTTTATCTATCTCTTTCTGTTTAGCTATCATATCTCTCCCTTTTTGTTTATCTATCTATCAATCTATCCTTGTCTGTTTGTCTGTCTATCTATCTATCTGTTTTTGTTTATTTGTCTGCCATATATACTCATGTATCATGTGACGTTTGAAAACCTAATTTTGAAGCTAATGTGACTACAGTAAATTGATATATAGTTTGACCAATGGTATATCCAGTGCTAGCAGTACACATGCTAATTTTATATCTCATGTATAATGTATCCCTCTTAAAATTAGATTCAATGATATGTGAGTATTTTATATATATATATATATATATATATATATATATAGACAGACTGAAACAAAATAACTAGCTTTCAAACCATAAATTTTAATAAAATAAGCATACCTTGATCAAATACAACCTTATTCATCAAAGTTAGCACCATTAGAGTTGAGACAATGTTGCTAATTATTTGATATTGCACTTATTCAATTAAAAAGTATTTCTAATCTGGTCTGTAATAGAAGGTGTATATTTGTGAGCACATACATTATAGGCCAAAGTTTCAGGGCCACCCTTCAGATTTAATTTATCAGTAAGTTTCAGAAAAAATTTCATTAGAAGCAAAGAAATCAAAATCGTGCTAATAAATTAGTTTTTAAAAAGTCATGCAACCCTCAATTTTTAGAAATTCTTCAAAATTCAGAGGTTGGTTCCAAAGTTTTGGCCTGTAGTGTATATGCATCTAAGAACCAGAGCAACACCTAGTTGGAATATAGGGTGAATGAATTGCATCGGTAATAGCATCAGTTTTGGCCAAGTGGTTTGTGAAGAAAAAATAAATCTTATCCTCTTCTATCACCTGATAAGCAGACCTTTCTGTAATAGTCCTTACGATATATGCTCCTGAACTGGTTCCTTTAAACTGTACAATGAATGCCTCATTGAACTGATTCCATCTTATCTAATCGCAAAATGAAAATTGTCTTGAATGGCCACTCTTCTAGATCTTTTTGTATTATTGCAGGTGTCCAACAGGACTTTATCTTTGGTCTTACTTTGTTCTTAATTTTCATCAATGAATACCTTCCTGATGACATAAGTTCTCAACTTGGCATCTATGCTGATGACACAAACATTTACTCCTGTTTCAATAAGGCTGGTGATCTAAAAAATGACCTAATGTTTGTTTGCAGAAGTTTGACTATAGTCTAAATTAAAGTAAAATAGTCTATAAGATTTTTTTAAGGTTACAAAAAATATTTTTGATTGGGTTTTATTAGTATTTTAAATCAAGTTTTTGCAATAAAATGCTTTTTGTTGATTATCAAATGAAAGGTTCTAGTTTCTTTGTTTCTTTTCATAGTGTTGACAAGTTCTTCCAATCTCCCAAATCTAGGAATTCTATTTCTGGTAACAAGCATGATATTACTAAAACTTACCTTCATTCTTTATTAGCCATATGTAATAAATTCCTAATATTCATGATTCAACAGAAATAGAATTTAGATTTCTCTTTCTGCCTCTTTACAGCAACTCACATTATTAAATTGAACAAGAAATTTTGTCAGTTGCACATCTTTATAAACTTCATTAAAATATTTTTAACTCTACATTTTTCTCATCACATTCTCATAATTTAATTTGTATCCAATTTTCAAATATGTTTTTCATATATGCATGGCCGTCTATATCTGTTTTACTGTCTTTGCTTTACATTGGGCAAATTTTGTGGTTAAAATGGCAGTATGACTTGTTGTCACTCTTCATACTCTCGTAAAAATGGGAACAAAACAAAAACAGTTATTTCAATGCTGATTTTAATGTAAGTGGGTCTCACACATCAAGTAAAACTCATGTTTTACAATATTCCTAAATTCTACAATACTTATTAAGAAAAATCTACAAACAATACCAACATTGTGTATGTGTATATATATATATATATATATATATATATATAACCAAATAGATAAATAGATAAAAGGGACCAATCGGATACAAATACATATAAACACTCTATGATAAAAGTTGTCAAAAAATCCACATAGGTTTTGATTATAGTGGTGAAGATATGTACAGGACCATCCATACATTTTGGAACCACTGATAACATGGAATATATATATATATATATATATATATATATATATATATATATATATATTAATATCATTGAGTCTGATAGAAAACCTCAACAGGAATAGAGGAATATATATATATATATATATATATATAAATATATATATATATATATATATATATATATATAAATATATATGTCTGGACGGCTGTTTGTCCAATAATTGGGACTCATCAGCAGTGCGCATCCACCACCGAAGTATCAAAATAAAATTCCTGATCGCAAAAAAAATGGTGAATCTGTTGATTTTATATGAGACTTGTGGTTTATACTATGGATGACATACAGCACCTCATGGACACTTTCACCAGACTTACTATAAGTCTCAAGAAATCTCTGTTGATATTCCAGCCTGTATCAAGTAAGCTTTATCATTGTATAAATGTATAGGTATGGTTGGTGACTGTTTATTTTGCTAGCATCCTATCAAAAATATACTCACTGAACAATGATGAGGAGACTTCAAAATACCAATGATACATTCTCTAAGTTGGAAGAGCAACTACAGAGAGAGCATGGAATTCTGAAAGTGACCAAAATCAAGGTGTACCAGGCTTATGTCTTAATGTCATTTCTGTATAAATGTGAAACACTGATTTTCTATGGTGATCACTACAAGCAGCTTGTGTAATTCCATCAATGATGCTTCAGTTGAATACTTGGAATTAACAGGTTAATGCATGTCAGCAACATAGAAGTGCTTGAGTGAAGTCAGTGTGACAACATTGAAGCACCAATTCTAAAATATAGTTTGTGCTCAAGTGATCACTGGCATGAGCAACCGTAGAATTTCTAAGCAGCTTTTATATGGAAAGCTTGCTAATGGAAAACAATCATCCCATAAACCAAAGAACCATTATAAGGATGGTATCAAATAATTACTGAACCTTGCAAACATTAGTACATATGACTGGGATTTCCATGCAAATGATCATATCATCTAGTGGATGAAGGTTCATCATACAAAAAAAAAGAAGCTGAAAAATGTATCCAGAAAGGTCATTAGATGAAACTTCTTGACCATATAGGTTACAACCATGACCTCACATGTCATATTTGTGGTAGGCTTTGCTTGAGTAAAACAGGAAAATTGAGTCATATGCAAAGTCATCATGCAAGATTATTGACCAACTATAAAACACATTAATTACTGGGATTTCATGCCACATTTGTGTAAGAATTTACAAGTCAGCTGTTGGGTTGAAAAGACAGCCAGTCACAGAAATAAATTTAATGACAACAAAATGTATGTGCCTCATGTCTGCCAACCTCATGCCATAGTTTTTCAGATAAGGCATTTAGCCATCATGATACCATTTGTTGCAAGAATCAGTGACAAACCCTTGGAGTTATTCAGGTAGAAAGGGAACAGTTTTAAATCATTTTGTGTCTGCTCTACTGTCTTCACAACTGAGCAATGATGAGAGGAAAAAATCATTCAGAGCGTCAGTAATGGTACCAACATTCATATACTGACTTCCATCTTGTCCATTCAAGAAGGATTAAGAAAACAGTGAATAAGTTTAAAAAAGAGGGAACAACAGAAAAGAAACATGGATCAAGAGGTCACACCAAAAAGAGGGATCATCATTTCAACTTAGAGCTAAGAGATCTTTCTGCTGTTACACACGGTATATATATATATATATATATATATATATATATAGAGAGAGAGAGAGAGAGAGAGATTATTTTCAGATAGAGTGTATCTGTAAAGGAATAAAATAAATAAAAGACAAGAGGAATTACTATTCTTAGCTGACGCATTTTTTCCTCTGAATGGCAGGGGTTAGGCTTAGGCTTATCAAAATATAAATCTGGGACCTGGTTTCTTTCCAATCTCACCTTTCCTAAAAGTCAAATATACACAACCACAAAACTTTTAAAAAATAAAATAAAAATGGTTATCTTAAGTCTTTAAAGATGTACAGTATATACATATATCTCATACCATGACAATCTGATCATAATTTAAACAATATTCACTTATTAAAAAAAACAATGAATATTACTCACTTACTTTTGTCTTACCTGACTTTGGATGACAGCACTTTCTACATATTTTGACTCACCTTTCCACAACCTGGTGAATATTCATGAACCTTCTCAAATTTAAAGCCTTGATAAACCAATGACTAATCCTTGCTCTTGTATATAAATACTTGCAACAAAGTAAATCTTTACTTTTGACTTGATAAAGTCCCTCACACACACACACACACACACACACACACACACACACATATATATATGTATGTATGTATGTATGTATGTGTGTGTGTATGTATATAAATATACATGTTTGTTTATATGATAATCTTGAATCCTGTAACCCATTTAGGATCATAGGATGGTACCACATCTACTGCAGCCACAGCACCAATGGTCTTTCCTGGGGAAGACAGCCTAACAGAGTCCAACCCTCTCAAGATTGGTTTGACTTCAGAGTTTTTATTCTACTAGCCTAGTTGCCAACCAAGGTTCTTGGGTCAAATTTGACATGCTGTTGAAACATAGCTTGTGAATAAGAGATAGGTTTATACCTTTCTGAAGCACATATGTGAATGTAATGAACTCAACTGGAATTTGAACTTGACTTTTCAGTTCCCTAATCCAAGCAGCTATTCATTACTCCACCCTGCCTCTTGAAGCAAGATAAGTTAACATATTTATTTATTACCATTAATGATATCGAAAACCTTAATTACAAAGACTGCTTACCTTAAAAGTGTTATCCTCCATAACTACAATAGTCAATCATTTTATTCAAAATTCAAACTTTGTTATTGTTTATCTATCTATCTATCTATCTATCTATCTATCTATCTATCTCAAACATACACACAATGGAACGGTGAAAAGATTTCAGCCCAAATACAAACTCCCTATTCCATCCCAAAATTCTAATGGTTATATTTTGGGTTGGACTGAGAAACTTTTTACCATGCCTTCATATATATATATATATATATATATATATATATAGGAGGCACAGTGGAGTAATGGATAGCGGCTTGGATTGAGGAATCGCAGAGCCGAGTTCGAATTCCAGTCGAATCCATTACATTCACTTACATGCTAATACCCTTGGGAAAGGTATGAATCCTCTTCTCGCTCCAGCTATGGGTAAAATATCAGGACAGACTGGGTTCTATAGCCTTGGATGGCAACTGGTCTAGGAGAAGGACAACTCTGAATTGAAAACCTGCAGAGGGGCGTTTGGGAACCTTGTGGCACTTAGTGCACCAGGTCTCTGTATTCATCCCTACAAAAAATGTGGATGGTCCTGCACGAAACCTTCACCACTATAATCAAATCTCATGTGCCGTTGTCGGGCTGTCAGTTTTCTGGAAACTGATTTGCTTGACCCTCATACGTCGAATTTGATGGGAGAGTCGACTATATATATATATATATACATGCATACACACACAGTGTGCAATGGCTAAATTGTTGTCTAAATTATGCAAAAATGAAAATAACACTGACATCTCATTTTAACAGATATATTTACCAAAATTAAACAAAAATATTTTGAAATACTAAAGAGTAAATTTATTGAATAAAATCTTCACAGCCTCCAGATGACTTCAGAATCTCCTGCAACTCTTCTGGATAGTCTCCTTGTTTAGGTTAGTGAATGTTGTTATAATCCTTGCCTTCAGTTCATCTTTAGTGTTCCAAGGAGTTTTGTGAATTTCTAGCTCAACTGCAAGCCACATATAATAATCAAGGAGGTTGCAGACTGGGGAGTTTGGTGACCAAATATAAGGAGTAATGTGGTGGCAGAAATTGTTTGATAGCCATCACTGGGTTCTCCCAATTGTGTGGCATAGTACAAAGTCATGTTGCTAGGCATAGAGTCTTCCAGCAGGCATCCTCTTGACCCAGAGAAGCATGACCTCCTCAAAGCACTTGATGTAGGCCTCCATGTTGAATCTGAGGCTCTCACCGATAAATTTGGGAGTTCTTTTTCAGAACAATCAGAGTGAGTTTTTTGAGCTGCCATATCTTCATAATCACCAATAGATTCATCCAACTCTTTCCAAATCCATTGCACTCAAAATCGCCGCCCAGACATTCTGAAATGTTTGTATTTGAACTTCTGGCATGAATGCCAAGCAGTAGAGCAGTATGTTTTCAAATTTCTGGCAGAGTGAAATGCATCATGCTGCTCTTTTTCTCACAGACAGTGACCAACTGACCTTACTATACTGTACAGTTGACAAAATCAAAAGCAGCTAATGCACATACGCAAAATTATAAATAGAAAATTGTGACAATTTCCCCATCTCACCCTGTATGCACAGATAGATATATTTGTTATTTCAATAAATATTATTTATATAGTAGCTTCATTCTTCCTGTCAGTAATGCTTGTTATAATTCTTTACTAATGACAATATTGTTTTTTTTCTTGATTTTCAATGTATAATGCATGGATTTTGTATTGAGGCCTTGGAAAAAATTTTAGGACAAGAATTACAAAATTAGGTGCTTAATCATCAATTTCTCTCCCCACACCCACTAATACCAGAAATATTCAGTTTATTCATGTGGAAAATGAGTCAAGCAACATGGGAATTGATGGAGGAACAGTAAAATCACTAAGTAGTGGTAATAAAAGTTGAAACATTGCCTACATATAAAAATACAACCTTAATTATACATAGTTTCCTTTTTTTTGCATATGAAATGAAAGTTTTACTGAGTATATTTTTTTAAATCTTTCTCCTGATAACACTGTTTACAGAAACAGCTCATGCATAATACATTTTTTTTTACATCTGTATTGATATTATAAGAAACATCAGCTTATTTATAGATTATGAAAATGTTTATAAAATATATATATATATCTATATATAATTTAGTTTATAGATAAATAATTTGAAAGGATTTACATTCCATCTTCAAGTTTTTCATGTAGATCACTTGTCAGAGTAAGATAAATAAATTCTTAGTAATTTTTTTAATCTGTATCACCCCATGCAAGGCAGTAAAGCTACTAAGGCACAAGGGGTTATAGGGTGTAGAAGAATTAGGAACAGAAACATTAATAATGAGTGGGAAGAGAAAAAAAAGTAATTGGGAGGACAGCAGGTAGTGATTGACATTACATTTCATTTTTTGCTGATTAAAATTGGCTGGAAAGCATGGAGCTAGAAGGAAGTTCCACAACTGAGAAGTGTGAGAAAAGAAACTGTTAACATAGAACTTATGGCTTCATCTAGCCAAATCAACTGTAAATTGATGAGATCTTGATGCCAGTCTAATACTGCACTTAAATTCAAAAAGTCTAGGTACCATAGCAAAGAGTTCATCCAACCAATTACCATGAAAGTATTTATAGAAAAGATACATAGAGGCAACTTTTACGGTGGTGGGAAAGTGACTGAAGCTGAGATGCCAGATCAGGATCAATTTTATCAAGGAGCTCAAGTAAAATAGCAGGGTCTCCGGACCATATGTAGCAGTAATATGCTACGCATGGATGAATGGTAGACTTATAGATATGTAAGATAGATTCTGAAGAGAAAAATTGTCTTGTATGATACAGTGAACAAACTTTCTTAGCAGCTGAGCTAGCAATAGATTCAATATAGTCTTTTCACTTCAGCTCATTAGCTTGAGACGGTGCAACAAGTCACTTTCCTGGAAGTTAGCATCAGCCATACTGATGGAAGGCAGAGAGGGGACTCTCAGATGATTAATGGAGAAAAGTTTACTTTAGGAGGCATCAAAATTAACAAGCCCAGTTAAGTAATATAATAATAGTAAATAATTTCCTGATTAACTTGTTTTTTAGGCTTTAATAGTGATGATCATCATCATCATTATCATCATAATGTTGTTGTTGTTGCCGCTGTTGCTTTGTGTAGTATGAGTTAACCCCAACGTCTCAACCTGAGATTTCAAGAGAAAACAAGATTTTTAGATCAGCAGATGCAAACAGATGATGTTTCATGTAATCAGAGAGAAAAGAATAATTTAATTGTGGTCACTACATAAAAAGAGATATCTATGTGAGCTTTGAGAAATATCTATGCATATGATTTTGTGCAATTAATATTTTTGGGCTGCCAGGAATTTGTCCCACATATTGGTTTGCTCCTTTTTATATCATTCAAAAAAATTCAGCATGTAATAGTGTAGTCTTGAGATGCTGCCCCTCAACTGATTTCTATATCAAAGTCTTTGTATTTACTTATTTCCTCAGATATCTTCAATGATGCAGTTTTGTTGGTTGGGGTTGCAACATCTATTTCAAGGTGACTTATACTACTACTACTACTACTACAAAAACAACAAATTTCCTTCCAGGTCCCAACCAGAGACCTAAGATCAGAAATGGTTTCATGACATTTTCTACTGATCATTTTTGCAAAAAAAGAAAAAATATAAAACCTATGATCACACACATTTTATATAGATAAAGTCCTTTGTAAGGTGTGAGCGGTATTTGTGAGTACAAGTTTTTGTATTACTTAAAGGCTTGATGTACTGGGGATCCCTTCAATGAATCTTTTCCAATCAATCCGAGGACTCCAACTACAACTTGAATTATTGATGTCCTCACTTGACACATTTTTGAGATTTCAATTTCAAGGTAATTGTATTTTGATAGTTTTTTGAAGATCTTCAAAGATACATTACAGTCTGTAGGGACTGCTATGCCAATAAGAAGGCACATTCTGTTTTTGTGATGATAATTATTTTTTTTATATTATTATGATGATTATTATTTTTTTCAGGTTATTTGATATGCATCCTGAAATTTATGAGATAGTCCCACAAGAATAAAATAATTGTACTCTTGTAAATGTTTTTTTAACTTTTATTCATAAATGTGTGATGGCATTGGGGGGTGGGTGATAAAAGATTTTATGATTTACTTTTTAACAAGATTACTTGACTCATCTTTCTAATTTAAAAAAGTATGATAAAATATAGTTCTAAGGTATATAACATTTATAGGATAAAAGTGCTCAATAATCAGGGTAGAGCATGTGTAAATATAAGAAGTGTAGACACTGATGTCAACACTGAATGGCAAAAGTCTGTTTCATATTTGAACATAATCTTTGGGCCAAGATTAAATATTTATATGTTAGTCATTGGGGTATTATGGCTAGCAAGATCAGTTATTTTCAGTTTATTGTATCATTCTAATGACAGTTGAATAGGTGGAAATATACATATGTATATACATATGTGTGTGTGTGTGTGTATGGTAAAATATAGTTTTATGGTATACTATATAGGGCAAAAGTGCTCAATATCTGGGACAGAGCATGCACAAATATAAGAAGTGTGAATACCAATGTTAACACTGAGTGGTAACAGTCTCTTTCATGCTGTTAGAACACAATAAACTAGATATAACTGATCTCCATACCCATAATGACCCAATGAGTAACACATAAATCAAGTTATAATCCAACTCCCATAGCCTGAATATTCAAGTACAGAATGGACTGTCACCAGTCAGTGTTGATATCAGTGTCCTGTACTTTTAATTCAAAAAGTAATAAGCTTCATATTTACCCCAAAATAATATATATATATATATATATATATATATATATATATATACACACACACACATATTTATATATATATATACACATACATACAGTTGTGGACAGAATTATTCACCCCCACTTCCATAATTACAAATAAATCTGTAATATACCAAAATTTCATGGAAAATTTGTGTGTATTTTCTCACAAATGATGAAATAATGGATTTCAAAGAATGTGCAATGATGCACACAACAAAATTTTAATGTCAAAAAATAATACAAAAAATCACAAATAATATTTAATATTTAAAATTAGTAGTCCTCTTCC